CTGGTTTTTTTCTCCGCTTGGTCTCGCAAGAGAGAGAAAGTAGATCTGGGTTTTTGGCTGTGCAAGCACAAGGTACCATGATTTCATTCGAAATTATTGCTCTACTTTCATAAACATATTACAATAACAATTATATCAAAATTCTAGAAACATGTTAAAGGGAGATGTCACAGGACCGTAGCATTTCTCCATGTTATAATAACAATTTTGAATCGAAATATAAAAGTAAGTTCATTTCGACTTATGCACCAAACCAGTTTTTTTTAAAAATCATATTGCGATTCACAAGGAAAAATGAGACAAATGGTCCAGTAAGTCTACGCCTTTTTCATTTTGGTCCTCTTCAAATTAACTTTTTATTTTTTGTCCGATAACTTCGAAAAGTGCAGCAATTTCGTCCTTTTCCGTTGTTGAATATCCTACGTGGACGAAGCCACCAAATTAAAAAAAATAAATCACTTATATATAAATAGCTTGTCGAGGGAGGAGTTCTTCAAAAATTTTCAGTTACCCTAATTTCAATTCATCCCTAATTTATTTGCCCTAATTCTTGCTTCTGAGATTTTCCATAAATCCGAAGGCGATTCAAAATCAATTTACCCGATGTTTCTTCTAACAAAATCCGAACCCTAATTCTTGCTTATGAAAAACAACTATGTCGTCTTCTTCTTCATCGTCTGCTTCTCGTCCAAGGGCAGTTGTGTTTTGTAGGTGTGGGAAAAATACACAATTTCGAACTTCGTGGACACAAGATAATCCTGGTAGAAAGTTTTATGGGTGTCAATATTGGGAGGTATGTAAGAATTTAAAATAACCCAAATCTCTTGGCTTTCTATAAAATTTAATTATTGTATTCTTCTCAATATTTTGATAGGAGGCCGAATGCAACTTTTTTAAGTGGCTGCGAATTACATCCTCCTCCTCGGAATTATTAAACTCTTCAACAACGATTTGTTTATTGCCTGGAACCATTCTGCATCAGAATTGACAAAGTTTTCAAACAATTTATCATCATCACCAACCTCTTCTTCTAACTCATAATCATCATCCTCAAAATCGGAACACGACCATTCCCCAGCAGAAGACGACGAGGACGCCATTTTTGTATTAATCTATTTCGGATTTTCTGAAAATGGTAAGAGGTTCATGTCATTTTAGGGTTATTCATGGTGGAGGGAAATGGGAGCGATTTTACCTCCCAAATTCATGTAATTAGGGCAATTAGAAGAAATTAGGGATTAATTTCTGATGTATCTGATGTACAACCTTCGTCACATCAGATTGTTTTTTGAATTTGGTGGCTTCGGGTCCATGTAGGATTCAACAACGGAAATTGGCCCGTTGGTCTGAAAAAAGGACGAAATTACGGCACTTTTAAAAGTTACCGGACCAAAAATAAAAAGTTGATTTGAAGAGGACCAAAATAAAAAAAGGTGTAAACTTACCGGACCATTTGTCTTATTTTCCCCGATTCACAATATCATAACAAATGTTATATAAAATAACAGATTCAAAAGAAAAAATGAAATATTTACAATATTATAAATTATAAGAAAAAACAAAAACATTATTATATTTAAAAATTAATAAATATTTTTTACTTCAAAATAATATAAATTACATTTTTTTTCATATTTGTCACCATTTTTTTTTAATTTAGAATAACTTATTTAGAAATCGAAATAATATATTATATCAAGATATTATGTGAGCATTATTTATTGATAGTATTTTAATATGTTAAATTCTTATTAGCTTTAATTATAAACAAGATATAAAACGACAATTATTTTATAACGAGTGAAATAAATATATAAATTATGTATTAAATTATTATATATAATAAAATAAATGAAAAACAATTATTAATATTCAAAACTATTTATACTAATCAGATATTTCTTCAATTATTTTATAACGAGTGAAATAATATATAAATTATGTATTAAATTATTATGTATAATAAAATAAATGAAAAACAATTATCAATAATCAAAACGATTTTTTACACTAATCAGATATTTTTTCATTGATTTAATACAACAATTTATAATGATTGCCTCGTGCAACGCATGAGCTACATACTAGTTTAATATATTTACTTGAATAAAAAAATTAAAAATATTGAGGTATTAATTTGAATTTTTAAAATTTTTATGAATTATAAGACACTTATTTTTTTAAAAAAAATCTAAAGAAATTGAGGAGATATTCAATTTATCTATATTTTGAGGTTTTAAAGACATAATACATCTACAAAATCCAACACCAAATGCCATATCCAAACTTTGAGATCTATCATTATATTAAAAGAATAACCTTTTTAGTATTTTCCGCCAAAATCATTATTTCCCTCCAAAATCATTAAATACCTGTCAAATCATTATTTTCCCTCTAAAATCATTAAATAACAGCTAAAATCATTATTTTCCC